ATCTCTGGAAAGCTGGGAGGGGGATTTCCCAGAGGGCTTAGAATCAAGAGGGCCTCACCCAGTTATAGCTTTCATCAGTCGCTGAAATGCAGCTGATACTTCATGGAAGCATTGTGAGACGCCCCCCCCACCTACCCACCACCCTCTCTGGGTGTCCTCACAGCCTCATGGGGTGAAGGCCTGGCCCCATGGGAGCAGGTAGCCTGGGGTTAAACGATGACTGTACCTCAGACGGCAGGTTCTTTGCTGGTTCTTTCTCTGGGGTCTTGTTCTGAAGAGGGAAGTCAATGCTGAGGAAAGGCTGATTTCTTCACGACCCAGGAGACAGCACACACTTTGGCTCTTACCTCAGACCTGCCACCTCCCAGCCATACGACTTTGGGCGAGTTGCTACCCCAAGAACTTTTAAGGGTCTTCAGATGTAAAATGCTGGCAGGTAGAAGGTGGGACCCAGCATCCCACTACGGGCCTGGCTCCAGCATAAAGTAACGGGCCCTCAGTGGCACTTAGAAACCCGAGGCCCTTCCCCAGGTAGAGGCTGGGGTCCGCTCCTGGCAGGAGGCGCCTTTGCTCTCAATGTTCTGGTTTGGGCACATTCTTCCATGTGCCTAAGACCTGGTCCTGGGCCAGGAAGGCAAGACTGATTACCCCAGGAGAGATGATGAGGTAGTCAGAGAGCCAACAGGATCACGGGGGCTGGAGGCATTCTCACTGCTTACTGCTCGAAGAGGCTGTGGCCAAGAATCCCGCCATCGAGGTCTGCTGGGGTGGGACTGGGGTAGGGACCACCTTTCACCACGCTCTCTCCTCTGCAGTACAACCAGGCCAGCTCCCCAGGGCTCAGCCCTGATCTACCAGAACCCTTCTGTCTGCAGGACAAAGGCCAAATTCCTAAGTCACCTCTGGGCTGTTCCTTGGCTGCGCCTTGAATAGTGAATATTCTCCCTCCCGACCTCTCCAAACCCATTGGTTCCTGTTTTCAATGGGTGGCGAGCTCCACCTCCCCCTGGAAGCCGTCCTAGCTCCTCTGCGATCCCAGGCTGGAAGTCCACCCCTGTCCTGTGTAACCACAGCACTTTTGTCTCTGAACTGCCCTCCCTACTCCCCCTTCCCAGGGTGGAGATCTTCTTGAGGCTGGGACCTGGTTTGACTCAGACTGTGGGATTACAGTGTCTAGCTCGACATCCCAAGGCAGTAAATATTTGTCCAAGGGCTGCAATGAATGCATTCATGGCTCATTACTTAGGGTAAATAGGGACTACTTTAGGTGGCAAGTCACAGGTATTGGCCAAGCATGTCTGAACGTTAGTCATGAGGAGTTAAACCCTGCTGCAGAGAGGCGTCCAAGGAGGTGAGGGGTCCTCAGGGGCGTGTGTTGGTGGGGAGTAGGGCGGGTACGTGCAGATGCAGCATTATCCGTTTGGATCCAGCCACTCCAATCCGTTCCAATCTAAACGCAGTATCTTCACAAAGTTTAAGTTCTTCAAAAGTGAGCAAGAATTGTACGATTCTCTGTTGAGAAAAAATCTAGAAGTTCTTAATTAATCTGAAGTTCCGTAAACGTTTAATGCCTTTTTTAAACTCAACAAATTTTTATTGAGCAATTACTAGTGCCAGACACTATCCTAACCACCCTGTGAGAACATGAACCCATTTATCCTCGAATTAGCCAGTGGGGTAGGTGCTGTTACAGCCCTGCTATGGTGGTAATGTCCCTGCCAAAACTCACCTTGGAGCTTAATTGCCAGTGTAATGGCATCAGGAGGTGGGACTTTGAAGGAACGCGTAGGCCATGTGGGCTCTGCGTCATGAGTGAATTATGGGTTAGTCATCCGAGCACTGGGCTTCTGACGAAAGGGTAAGTTTGACCCCCTGTCCTTCTGTCTCATTTCCGCCTTTTGCCTTCTGCCTCTCACTGTGGGATGACCATGCCCAGATGCCAGCTCTGGACCCTTGGACTTCTCAGTCTCCAGAATTAAAACCAAATACATTTCAGTTCTTCATGAATTATCCAGTCTATGGTATCCTGTTGCCAGCTGCAGAAAGTAGATTTAGACATTCCCCATTTTACAGGCGAGGAAACAGCCCCAGAAGTTTTACTTCCCCAAGGTCACATAGCTGGGAAAGCAGGAGGGTGAAGTTCACAACCAGGTTGCTGGACTCCTGTGCTTGTCTGCTGTGTGCTTCACATCTGAGCTTGGGAATAACACTCCTCACTAGACTGGAGTTCTACACATCTTGTTTCTTAAAGAGAGTGTGACTGCTAAGGGGTATTGAAAACCCACGGCCTAGCGCAGACTTCCCATTTTACAGATCTGGACACTGAGACCTGGAGGTGGAGCTGCCGGCTTAGCCATGCAGGGGTAGAGTGGAAAGAGGAGCCTAGGCTCAGTGCCCAAACCCTAGGACTCTGAGACTCCCCTGAGACCGGAACACTCCTTCCTCCACAGCAGTGGCTTCTGGGTGATCAGAAACTAAGCTTGGGAGCTGAGTGGCAGCTGGCAGAGGACAGGGGCAGGCTTATCTGGGCCTGACCCGGGTTCTCCTGCTCCCATGCACTGTGAGCTCCTCTCCGAACCTGTTTTGCTGTCTGTGGACGGAGTTCCCCAGCACGCTGCTCACTCAGGTGTGGTGAGGGTTACATGAGGCCATCTGCATTTGCTCAGCAAGGACCCAAGGACTTCCTCTCTCAGGGTGATCAGCAGAGAGCCTGGAGGGCAGAGTGGAGCAGTAAGACCGTGGTGGTGACCATGACCTCATAGTGTGGGGTGGTGACTGTGAGCTCATCCAGGGAGAGAGCCAGGAGCGAGCATACAGCACAGAGCGACGTACGTCCCGAGCCTTTCATCAACGTGGGATGTCACACAGGCACTGCTGGAGCAGGCAGGAGCAGGACAGATGCAGCTGCCACGCAGCCCAGCACACCCGAGGAACATGGAGGCGGCCACGTTCGGAACCGTCAACACAAGGCTGCCAGGCCTAGAAGAGTGTGTGAACAACTGAGGCTTCCCAGCCGCAGTCAACAAGTGGAACCGCTGCCCACTGCGGGCAGGCCGGCCCACACTGGCAGCAGGTGCCGGACCCGTCCTCAACCTCAGGGAAGGAACTGGAGACTCAGACACGCCTCCCTGGTCGGAGGCTGTCTGTTGTAACACCCCCAAATGACTACAGTCCTGATAATCTCCTCCTTGGTACCCGAGGGGGTTGCTTCCAGGAGGCCCTACAGATACCAAAATCCATGACACTTAAGTCTCTTATGCATGGGGACTTGAAAAGTTCACAAAAAAATGGAATAAAAGCAAAAGTTTATTTTGGTATAAAAAATTTCTGAAATCCATGCCCATGAAAATCATCTCTCTTAATATGTGTTTTTCCACACCTTCTGAAAACCCCCTTGTATAAAATGGCAGAGTATTTACATATAACCTATGCACATCTTCCCATATACTTGAAATAATCTCTAGACCACTTATAATGCCTAAGAAACGCGGTGCAGGCATGCTTTATTTATGTATTTCAGAATATCTGCAACCCCAAGTCAGTTGCCTGCTTAGGTGCAAGAGGTAAGGTTACAGAAGGCAGACTGTGTAACCGTGTGGAGGTTTCGCTGTATGTGATCAAATACAGGGTACTCTTTCATAAACACAGCACACGGGGAGGCAGTCCCCGAACCATGAGTCACCATGTAGGCTCCCTTTCATCAGCGATTTGAGCTTCAAAAATAATGGTGACACTGCACTTTTCACCTTACAGGATCTGAGCTGACACCTGGGCCGACACTCCATGAGTGGTGGTACCAGGTGGTCCCTGCCACTCAGCAACCCGAGGGTCTCAGCAGAGGCCTCAGGGGCCCCTCGCAGCTGAGGTGAGACAGCGTCTGCTCCTTGGCAGGGGGTGTTAACTACACGAACATCGGTTCTGCACCTCTGTAACTCCAACTGCACTGGTTTTTCGTTCTGAGTGGAGACACCCATTCATTCTCAGGCATGTAAAAGAAAAGACTTCTTTTAAACAAAGAAGAGAAGGAAAGGACTGTACGTTTCACCAAAGGTTTTTATTTTGGCTGCTTTAGAACCCTGACTTTCTGGTCTACAGAACTGAACAGTCAACTTTCTCTGCATACTCGAAAGGGAGGTCCTAGGGTCCCTTCTGTTTCCCAAGTCCTGGTGGAGGCAGGCAAAGCCTGTACACATTCGCCCGCCCACTGGACAGGAGAGCCTCCAGCAAGACTGAGGGTCCAGAGCTCAGCCTGGCCCTGACACACAGCCCCAAACAGCTGGGTACGTTCCCTTGGACAGGCAAACAGCTGTCAGGGCTTAGCAGAAACCAAATAAATAGGAAATGCTACCACTGAGTTTACACAGATGCGTATCGTTTCTTTAAAAAACAAATTCAACACAAGTAAATAAAGGGCAACAGGGTGTTTGGAGGTGGTGGGGAGGAGGAGGGATTTATCTGCAAAGTGATTGGTTGGGATCTGGGGATCTTTCTAGTCTAGCCAGGCACACGGCTTCACTCAGTAAGGCTGGGGTGGTGGCTAAAGACTGCATGCAATTTCCAGCAACGCTTGGCATTCAAAGTGGACAGAGCTGAACAGCCACGTCACGGGGCCCGGGCAGTCTACACACGAGGAAAAGGCCTCCGAAGCCCTGGGTTGCACACATGAGCACACACACGCACACACTGAGCTGTAGTGTTGCAACTGTCTGCCTGGGTGGCCACACGGGGAAGGGCCTCATGGCGCCATGCACTGAAGCCTGCCCCGGCTGGGGGCATGTCCTCACACCGCCGACAGGAACGGGAAGAAGAAGAAGTCGAAGGCGAACTTGAAGGCGCCGTGCACGGTGCTGCGCCAGTCGTGCTCGATCTTCACGTGCCGCTTGGCCGGCGAGAGCTGGGCCATGCAGTTGAGGCAGCTGATGGCCTTGAGCTCGAAGACGGGCCACTTGCTGCCCAGGCGGCCCCCGCGGGTGGGGTTCCCTTCTGTTTCCCAAGTCCTGGTGGAGGCAGGCAAAGCCTGTACACATTCGCCCGCCCACTGGACAGGAGAGCCTCCAGCAAGACTGAGGGTCCAGAGCTCAGCCTGGCCCTGACACACAGCCCCAAACAGCTGGGTACGTTCCCTTGGACAGGCAAACAGCTGTCAGGGCTTAGCAGAAACCAAATAAATAGGAAATGCTACCACTGAGTTTACACAGATGCGTATCGTTTCTTTAAAAAACACAAATTCAACACAAGTAAATAAAGGGCAACAGGGTGTTTGGAGGTGGTGGGGAGGAGGAGGGATTTATCTGCAAAGTGATTGGTTGGGATCTGGGGATCTTTCTAGTCTAGCCAGGCACACGGCTTCACTCAGTAAGGCTGGGGTGGTGGCTAAAGACTGCATGCAATTTCCAGCAACGCTTGGCATTCAAAGTGGACAGAGCTGAACAGCCACGTCACGGGGCCCGGGCAGTCTACACACGAGGAAAAGGCCTCCGAAGCCCTGGGTTGCACACATGAGCACACACACGCACACACTGAGCTGTAGTGTTGCAACTGTCTGCCTGGGTGGCCACACGGGGAAGGGCCTCATGGCGCCATGCACTGAAGCCTGCCCCGGCTGGGGGCATGTCCTCACACCGCCGACAGGAACGGGAAGAAGAAGAAGTCGAAGGCGAACTTGAAGGCGCCGTGCACGGTGCTGCGCCAGTCGTGCTCGATCTTCACGTGCCGCTTGGCCGGCGAGAGCTGGGCCATGCAGTTGAGGCAGCTGATGGCCTTGAGCTCGAAGACGGGCCACTTGCTGCCCAGGCGGCCCTCGAGGATAGTGCTGAACTCGATGAGGCTGCCCTGGCGCAGGTTGAGCAGCACGCTCTTGAACTCGCTGCTGGCCCGCAGCACGATGTCCTTGGTGATATCGTCCTCCTCGGGGCCGCGGGTGCCGTTGCCGCTGCTGCTGAAGGGCATGCCCACCGTGATCTCGAACTTGTAGCGGTCGAACTTCTTGATGTGGCAGGGGTGCTTGGCCAGGAGCTTGAGGCGGCAGAGCTCCTCCTCGGCCGTGGAGGTGTTGCCGGGGCTGCAGGAGGGGTAGGCCTCGCCGTAAAGGCAGCGCATCCAGTCGCCGATGAAGAACGGGAGCATGTTGATGGCCGACTCGGCGCTGTTGTCAATTTCGGTCACCCGGACATACTTGAAGCGGCCTGTCCACGTGACCCTGTGGCCCTCCAGGTGGCTGCACAGGATCTGGGTGCGTGCCATGTTGGTCTCCTTCCAGGCCCGCGGCCCGCACAGGAAGCCGTACTGCTGCCAGGTCAGCGTGGAGTTGTAGACCTTCATGCCCTCCGACCGGTACACGTAGAACCAGCAGAACAGTACGATGGCCGAGATCCACACCAGGATGAGCTTGACCATGGAGCTGCGCGTTAGGGACTTCACCATCTCCACCACTGAGAAGTGGGCCTTGGTCCACCAGCGGAACAGCAGGGGCACGCTGCAGACAGCCATGGTGACCAGGATCTTGGTGAGCTCTAGGGACACGAACCACCGGGCAAACTGCACCACGCCCATGAGGGCAAGGCCAGCCACCAGGATGGGGAGAGCGAAGAGGAAGAGGAAATAGCCAATGGAGGCACGGACCAGCCCCAGGCCGGTGGACTCCAGTAGGATGACCACAGAGAGCTCGCACCACATGAAGCAGACCAGGTAGGGCACCAGGTAGCAGTAGGTGCCCTTGAAGTTCCTGAGCTGGGCCATGCGGAAGAAGAGGTAGAAGAGGTAGATGTAGAGCAGGCAGGGGACGCTGACATTGAGGACCACGAAGTGGCCGAGGGGCATGGTGAAGAAGGTCTGGCCAAGGACTTGCAGGTAGCGCCCGCCCACAGGCAGGGTGGGCAGGAGGGACAGCAGGCCAGCAGCCACCTCCGTGACCAGTGCCCTTCTGGTGTAGGGCTCTGCGGAGCTGCTCAGGCTCATGTAGCTGGTCACGGTGAAGAAGGCTGCGATGACGGCCAGCTCCGAGCAGGGGATACAGTCCTTGCTGGCGATGGGGAAGGAGAAGATGACGAAGACCACCGACAGCAGGAAGTGGGCGTAGGGCTCCAGGTGGTTCCAGCCAAAGTTGATCTCAGCTTGTTCCACATCCAGGTCAGGCTCGAAGCGCAGCAGCAGGTCGGTGAGGGTGCGGAAGTTCTCCCAGGCCTTGCTGTCCTGGAAGACCTTGAGGGTGCAGATCACCATGGACACGAAGGACAGGTAGAAGATAACCAGGGGGATGAAGAAGGCGAAGAAATCGATGGTCAGGTTGCTGATGATGAAGAAGAAGATGAGGGCGTTGATGTGGTGGGTGGGGATGATGGTGGACAGCCAGTGCATGCCGGCCTTGGAGGCCACTTCGATCAGGTGCTCTTTGATCTCCATGATGGCGTGCAAGGGGAACTTGACCACCTGGGGAGCAAGAGCGGCCAGGTGAACGCCAAGAGCTCCCACTCGTTCTCCATCCCAGGACCTCCTCTAACCACCTGTCCCTGCTGTTTCCACTGCTATGCCCTTGGTCCAGGGGGCTTCTCCCACCTTGGTTCCCTTCTCCATGGGCCCTCCCATGCTCTACGGCCCATGTGGCCCTTCCTCACCCTGCGATGCCTCCCTCCTGAGACAACACGGCCTCAGCCACTCATCTGGAGCCAGGTCTGTGTCTCAACTCTCCGGCAAGAGTGTCACTACCCTGGGTCTAGCTTCCCTGTCTACCATGGGGACTGTGCGTGTTACTGCATAAGATCAGACGGGGCTGGGACCAGCAGGTGGCATGTTGGTTAAGGTGCTGGACACTCCCACATGGCCAACCAGGGTTCGAGTCCTGAATCTGGCGACTTGCTTTCTCACTTTCTCTCTCTCTCACTCTCAACCTCTGTTTCTCTCTAGTCAAATTAAAAAAATAAATGAATGAATAAATAAAATAAAATAAATATTTAGGGGAAAAAAAAAAGATCAGACTGGGTTTTAAAGAGGTCGCCACAAGCTCTCCCATGAGGGGCAGTGCACAAGCACTCCAGAAAGTTCGGTACATACAGGGACAGCAGTCCCTTTGCTTAGCATGGCTCACCTGAATGAAGACATGATTCAGTTGTCACAGGGCTGAGTGGGAAGCTTTCACTAGAAGCATGAGACTCTGAGAACCAGCTGCCTGCTACCCCCACCCCACACTCTCACACCTGCACACACACGCGCACATATACACCCACCCCACACACGCTTACGCAGCACTCACATACTGCTTACGACAGACACGCAACCCCTCACGGCCGCGTTCAAAGGTGGTCCTCCGCTGTTACCCTTAGGCCCCACTCCCTAGAAGGGCACCAGTGCAAAGGGTAAAACCAATTCTCAGATGAATGAAGGGGCGGGACAGGTGAGAGGAAGCAGCTCAGGGAGGAGGGAGTGATTCTGCCACCAGGGCCAGCCCCACAGCCTGCTCGGTCTGTGCAGAACCTGCAGAAGCTCTCAGCCCTGTCAGGACACAGAGGAGACAGGAGAGAGATGACAGGGGACAAAAAGGGATAGTGCCCTGGCTGAAGACAGTGCGCATCCTCTGTAGTGTGGTATGGATCAAAGTGCAGGGACCTGGGCGTCTCCAGGGGTCCAGGGCACAGACCCTCAGAGGGCTTGGCCCTGCATGGGGCAAGGGGGCCTGGCTGCGCACCAGAGCCCAGCTGAGGGCTCCACAAGAGGGCCAGGCCAGGGCACTGGCGAACAAAAAGACACATCAGACCCTCATCAGCCCCGGGCCATGGGCAGTGCCCTCCTCCCTGGTGCCCTCGGGGTGCCTCATCTCACCCACCAGAGGGAGGGCTGAGGAGGCATCCGGCAATCCAGTGACAACATCAGACGTGGTCCTCACCACCCAAGGGCCTTGGCTATCAACTCAGGTGGCCAGAACACCTAGAGGCCACTGAGAGGAGTTTTCCACAAGGGTCAAAAAGGAACTTTCTAAGCACATGCACATCTACACATAGACACACAGGCATGTGCACACAGACGAGGATGCTCTTCCTCAGACTGGTGACAATCCGCTATATATAGAGACAGGCCCACACCTGTTGGGAGGTGACCGGGCACCCCAAGTGTTAGTATTTTAGCATATCAAAATGCTTGCTATGGAGGCCGAACCAGCCTTCCTGGAAACGAGCCTCCTCAGGGTTTCCCTGGAGAAACCCCCTGGTAGAAGACCAGGCCAGCAGAAATCAATAGCTACTCAGCCGGCAGCTGGGAGGGGAGGCTGCCATCGGCCTGCGCCAGCAGGTGCTTTGCCAGTTAACCCTTTGCAGGGACCTTGGTAACAGCAGGACCCACTGAAGGGCCAGGAGGCCCCGTGACCGCGACTGCCCCTAAGCACCACCTCCATCCCAACCGGACAGCACCATGGGAACCACCTTGGTTAAAATCAACCTGAGGGCCAGTCATGTGCTCTTCACCCACGGGGCTACACAACCCCCTCGCTGAGAAAGCAGCTCTAGACCGCACACCCGCACTGTCCGGCCTGTGCGAGGGTAGTGTGCAGGCCGGCCCACACGGGCTCTCAGGAACAGGCAATGTTCATACTGAGGCCCAGACGGGGCCCTGCAGCTTCCCCTCAAGCCCTTTCTCCTGGGCCGCCCCAAATTGTAGGACTACAAACTACAGTCTCCTTTTCTGTACCCAACAAATCGAAAGAAACTCTTCCTTGCAAAGGAGAAAAAAGTGAAATGAAAAAAACAAAACACACATATGAGTAAGGCATCTGGTCGTGTGGAAAGGACAGTGAGGAGCTCTCTGAGGCGAGCGAGCCTTCTGCTGCCACGGGACTGGGACGGAGAAAACAGCTTCCCACCCGGGGAGCTGAACAAAGGCCCACCACACCCAACCGGGAAAAGGCAGGTAAATCTAAACACCGGCAGCATTCCCAGCAAGTTAATGCAAAAACGTGAGGATTTAAAAATATCGTGAAATCTGTTCTTTGGAGGGTTTTATCTGACATGGTTATCTCGCACCTCGGGGCTCGGAGAGAGAACCACTTGGGCTCGGAGAGAGAACCACTTGGAGTCTGGAACATTCTTTGTGGGAGTAGCATTAACCCACACAGAAGCGGCTGTCATTTTTCACTTTGGGTGAAGAAGACCTTGCTGAAGTCTGTTTCCCTCTCTTTGTTCTCCAAAAGGCTATTAAAAGCTGAAACAGCTCTTCGTCTGCGGAGATGCCGATGATTCATTACCTTTCTCCTGCAGAGGACTTTCAGCAAGACAAATGGTAAGGGAATCAAAGTGCTCCGCTAGTTTCAAAAACTGAAGGAAACACAGAGCCTTGTTTATTTCTTGTCAGAATACTTTAAATATCTTTCTTCCAAAAAAGGACTTCCAGATATTTTACAGCACCAAGCTCAACACCCATAAACCGGGGCGATGTGCCATGTGCCGCCCAAGCCAGGAAGGG